GCAATAAAACAGAGATATGTTGGAGGTCACTCAACCCAGTAGCAATATAAACGAAGTAGGAACTCAGGCTTATAGATCCCAAGTTGTATGGTCTCGTCCACTGGCCAGAAGTCCCTAACACAGGGAAGAAAGGGACTGTTTTATTGTATTGAAGGGTGAGACTGCCTTTCACTGAATCTGTCTGCTGTACATGCAGGGTGGGGCAACCAGGGAAAGCCTCTTAAAGGAGGTGGCTTAGCCAGGGACCCGAAAGACTGATACCCTCATTCTGCAAATACTTAATGAGTACCTGCTATATACTCTGTTCCAGGTGCCAGAAACAGAAAAACAGAAGTGAACCTTGTACTTGTGGACATGCGTGGCAGGGATAAGGAAAAGCCAGAAATCATCAGTCTTAAATACAAAGCCTCCTTTACCTTCAGAATTGTTCTGCTTCTCCTTCCAGGTGCAAATACCCAAACTTCTGAACTGGAAAGGAAAGACCTGGTTTACAACACACACACACACACACACACACACTGCACCCTCTTATTGTGGAAGTCCTTCCTAAACTCTACCCAGGTTTTTTTTTCTGCTTCAACAAATTTTCCCACATACCATTTCATTACTTCTTTCCAAGATCAACCCTCGCAGCGGTAACCCGCGGCCCGGCAGTGGCTGGCCCTTTAAGGCTACCTTCTTCTCCCCACGTGCCGTCTGGTTGGGCTGGCGACGCTGACGCACGCGTGACGTCAATGGCAGCTGGCGGAGTCTGGGCACGAGGAGCGAAGTTGGAATGGGGGTGGGGGACCCGGGAAAGAAGGTGGCTCATTTGCATTTAAAGGGGCCACTCCCGAGTTAGCCGACCTGGGATTTAAAAGAAATTCGTGTTTGGCAAACTTTCGGTCCTGGGCTACAGAAAAAGGCATGGTGCAGATAGAGTCTGTGGTAACTCGAGTTTGCCCTGTTATGTCCTTCCGCGGAAAGGGGGAAATAGTCCGCTGGTGCCCAAGCTGGGAGCACGTGACCGGGAGGGGGCCGATGGGGGGGCAATAGAGAAGGAGGGAGGAGCTGTGGAGACGACAGTCAGGCTGCGTTTCAGCTGCCCCCACCCCCACATCCTGCCCACCCTACTGCAGCTGCCACCACATCCTGCCCAGCCTGGGGCGGAGAGCTCAAGTGGGGGGATGCATTGACCCAGGACCCGGCTTTGGCACCCACTCCCAGCCCCCTGAGGTCCGGGGTGGGGCCTCTGCCCTTTGCCCCAGGTCTGGCCCCAGGCACCCTGGCTCCGAGTTCGGGCTTGCTCTGCCAGTCCACCCTAGGACTACACTCTCCTGATTCTGCCCTCCATCCCAACCCTGGCCAGAGGCGGAGTTTGTAGGGGTCCCAGGTCAGACCCCCACCCATGTTGAGCTGGCAGAGTTCAGGACAAATAGAAGTGTTCAATAAAGTTTTTATAATCTCAGTGCAGCTGCACAACGGCACATGCGCGCACGCACGCATGTATACACGCACATACACAGAGATTTCTGCAACACATTTGCTCTGCTCCTTCCGGGCTATTCCTGAAGGACACTGAAGACCGAGGCTGAGTTAGTTTGCTGTCATGTAACAGCTCAGACGCTGGTCGGGAAGAGTAAATTGAAAACCACAACGTCAATATACTGACTGTACTGTGTACTGAGATGATCCACAGAATGGAGCTTGCTTAATGGGTGCCAACCAAGTCCATGCAAAATGTGTGCAGTGAACTATGGAACACCTGCCAGTGGTCCTTCCCTTCCCGTGCAAGGAAGTAGATGTGGGGAGAGACTATAGCCTTTGCTGCTGATCACTCAAAAACTGGAGGAGGAGGGGCTGGGGAGATGTCTCAGTGGAATAAGCGCTTTCCTGGCAAGCGCATGGACCTGGGTTCAATCCCCAGTTCTGAAAAAAAAAAATAAAAAATAAAAAATAAACTGGAGGCGGGTAGAAGGGATAAGAAGGGTGGTGACAGGGGTTAGAGATTGCCCAGATGGCAGTGGGACAGGTGAGAGGCTGCCATTCAGCAGTTCCCTGGATTATGAAACAACAGGCAGGTTAAAAAAAAAAAAAAAAAAAGGCGCGGGGGTGGGGGTGGGGAGGAACCAGGATGAGGAAAAACTTTGCATATGAAGTTGGGTTAGGTTTAGGAAGGGGACATAAAGGGAACATAGATTACTTTCGGTCATATAAACTTACAAAGACAATACTACAGAGAGGGGTAGACTTTGGTGGGCACAAGTGTCTGGCTCCTAGGGAATTTTACATCAGTTTCGGACTTCTAGGTAATCTTTCTCTAGATGGACAGGTAATCAGAAGTAGGGGAGCAAAAATGATACCCAGGAATCTGAGCCTGCTCAGTCCTTTTAAACCCAGAGGATTCTAGGGTAAAACTAGGGCCCTGGAGAAAAAAGATGTATTGGGTCACTTTCAGGAACTCCTTATTTCCATCTGACTTCCAGCAACATTACTCTCTGGACACTTTTAGTCCTCTATGAAATCAAGACTTCATGATGTTTGTTACTGTTCCTCTCCATGAAGCTTTCTTTGTATTCCAAATTCAGTGCCACTTTTCGCATTAGCACCTCCTCTGTTCTTCAGTGAGTTACAATAGCACATAAGGGTCCAGGACACTCCAACTCACTGCCAGAGCTTTTCCCTCCACTTTTCCCTCAGGTTCTGGGCCCTTTAATACCCTCCCCAGGTGACTTACCTTCCTTCCTCATTCCTTTGTGCAGGACCCAACATTCCATGGCTAGGAGGACCAGCCAGCCAATCAGAGCCCTGACAGGTCTGCTGCAACCAGGAGATTGGCTGAAGCTGTGGTTGGCGGGAGGGAGGCTCACCATGAGACACACTGAAGGATGGGGAGGGGGTTTCTGGGAATCAACCCTGGGAAAGAATTTGTTCTGGGGCTGCTTGTGTTTTTGGAGAGAATCCTTCAAATAGAGCTGGGGCCAGAGGGTCCTCTGGCTTGGAAAGCCTCCCAACTGGAGGCAGGTTGAGAACTTAGCTTTCTCGGTCTCCTGGGGGCTTGGCTCCCCCATGCCCATTCTGCCCCCTGCACCCCTCCCCCCTTGGATCTGGGACCCAAGGGCTGAAGGCTGCGTTCCCAAGCCTGTTCCTAAGAAGTCTTTTCCAGCAGCCTTGGATGTCTCCAGTCTCAACATTCTGCTTTCCCGACGTCGGAAACAGCCGGAAAATAAACACCCTGATGACTAAACGGTTTCTCCAGCTAGAGCCTGGGGAAGCACTAAAAATAGAGGCCACAAGTAAGGGGAGGTTCCCCACTGGTGGGGGCACTTTCCCATCCTGTGACTGCCACAGCCTCAACACTCGCACAAAGTTCTGGTTCTCCAAGTCTTTGGAAAAGGATGGATGGTCTCCCCCTGCTTACCCTGAAGTCTTTGGGGCAAGCTAGCCCTGCTTGGCAGGGAGCCCTGACATCCTCTGCTGTTGGCCCCAACTCCCATGCCAATGAGGAACTGAGAAGCTGCATTCGGGGACAAAGTGGGACACCAAAAATCAGACTTCCTGAAAGAGGGCCCAGGTGGAAATGTTGGAAACTGAGGCCAAGGAAACAGGAGCTTGCTTGCTTCCTGTCCGAAGAAATACCGCCTATCTGTGGAACAATCTGTGGAACTTGCCTCCCTCTGGCAAGACCTAGGGGTCTTTTCAGACTAACCCTCAACTCCATGGTCTGAGTTCAAGTAATGCAGCGTGCTGCACTGTACTAAGCAGTACTAAGTGGTCTGCTTATATGCATGGGAGTTAGGGACTATTATCACATCCCTGTTTTGTCCATGATGATCATGAGGTGAAGGAAAGTTAAATAATATGCTGGGTTCACAGTTCAAATAAGGGGTGAGCACTTAAACCTAGGCGCATAGGTGGCACAGTTGGGGTTCCTAAGCACCCTGCCGTGCTCCTCTTTCCACATATGTCGGTCTCTTCAGCACTAACCCAGAATTGAGTCTTTGTCTGGAAAATCAGGGCTAGAATGATAGAAATCAGGGTGTGTGAAGAACTGAGCAGCCTTCTGTTCTTCAAGATTTCTTTAAGATCTAAGCCAGATTCCAACATTTCCTCAAGCTCCAGGTAAAAAGCAGCAGCAGGATTTGTAAGCATCAGGGTTGCTGGCCAGGAAGCCTGATGGGCCAGTCGTCCGGGACCAGGACACCCACATTCTTGTTGTAAGGCACTTAACATTCGCCACGCCCTGAGGCAACTAGGAATTTGAAAAAATATTATTTTAAAAGCGCTGCTACTGCTTCTTTAATAAGGCACTTCTGGGTGTTTCCTGTGAAGTGGTAGTGGGGGCCTAGGGTCCCGCCCCTTTAAATTGCCCCCTCCGCTTAAAAGAGCAGGGGCCCACAGCCCTGAAGATTAGGTCACCCTAAAACGATGAGCTGTCGCTTTAAATTGCTGGGCGTCTGCCCAGCCGTGCCTAGCAGAGAAGGGGCTGTCACTGGTTGAAGCAGCAACCGAGCTCTCCAGGTAGAACCCCCGCCCCTCGAAAGAACGTGGTCTCTTAAGTGGAGCTTTGTCACACTCTAAGTAGGGGGAACGTAGCCTGTTTGCTACTTAGTTTCCCCTGCATCCACCTACTTAGACCCCCACCTCCCAACTCTCCCGGGCCAGGGCGGGCGCGACGCCAGGTCGTGTGCGCGTAGCCGTCAGCCTCCCCGGGAAGACCTCCAGGAGCGCGGAGCTGAAGGGCCGCGCTGTCCGGCCAGCTCGTAGGGCCCCGCGGGGGCTGGCCCCTCCCGGGAAGGTCTCCGGGTTTTGCTTCACCCTCCCTCCCAGTAGGCGGAGGGATCCGCCGCTCGGGGCACCGCGGACAAGCTCGGGAGGCGGCGGGTGGGGTAGGGGCCGGCCCGCCTCGGCCGCCCCGGGAAGCGAGGGGCGGAGCCGCGCCCTGGGCCCGCCCCCAAGACGGGCACCGCCTCCCGCCCCCATGAATCCCTCCCGTTGGCGGCACCCCCTGTCCATCTCCCGGACGCCCCGCCCCTCAAGCTAGGCTGAGCTGTGCCTACGTCGGCCTCGAATCCCTGGGGCTGGAGGAGTTACCTTTGGATCCCGAAAGGAGGAAGGAAGCAAAATATCAACAACAGTCGGAGCGACTCGGGCGCTCAGCCCTGGTCCCCCGCTCGTCCGCCTCCCGTCTGCCTGCTCCTGCGCGCGCGACGGGGGCCCGGACCCCCGGCGCCGCCCAGGGCCCGCGCGGACGTCGGCCTCGTCTGTGATTCCCCCGCCCGGTGCCGCGGCTTCCCGGGTTTGAAGAACCACCGGATTCGGGGCCAGGGCCGCCCGCTCCCTGCCGTGACACCTCATTCCCCTCTGCGGGGCTGGTGAGTGGAGAAAAATAGGGCGCCTACTGCTTTAAGAGGCCCCCTCCCCCACCCGTCGTGGGGCCGGGGTGGAGGGGTCTAGACCGTCCCCCTCCGTGGAACCCGGCAGCGCGGGCCAGGAGTCGCGGCGCGCGGAAAATCGCGAGGGGAATGTGTGTGGGGAGTCGCAGTGGGGACCTCGCTGGGCTGCAGGTCCCCGGGGCTTGCAGGCTCTGGGTGGGGCGGCGAGCGGGCTGGGGGCGCGCCGGCTGCGGGTGTTCGGGGTGACGACGGCCTCCTAGCGCGCGGGGCAGGGGCGCCGTCCACGGAGGGGGGTCTTCAGTGACAACCAGAGTACTGACATTTTAACAGCCGGCCCTCCCCCCTCCCTCCGCTCGCCGCCTGTCCCCTCCTCCTTGGACCGAAATGGTGCAGAAGGGGGCCTGGGAGGGCGGCGGGCGGGTGGGGGCGGGGGCAGCCGCAGCTGTTTGGGAAGCGGGGGAGGGAGGGGGATGTTGTTCAGATGACACCGGGGTGGTGGGTTGGGGTGTGAGCGCCCGTGTCTCGGGGCTGTGCTTGCCCAATGCCTGTGGAGTTAGGACGTGGAGTCTAGCCAGAGGTTGGCACGCAGGACCCTCCTCGAGACCTACTAGCTCAGCTTCTGAGACCCCTCATCAGGGTTGTCAGCAACCCCAGCTGGAGAATCCCCCGCCCCCGCCAGAAGTTTGCAGCTGTTCAACATCTGGGCAGGAGTTCTCCAGTCCTCTCTCCACCTATGGCAGGCTGAACTGGGCTGGGAGTGGGGTCTGTCAAGGGAGCATTGGGGGGGGGCCCTTAGGAGAGAGGTTCAAGCAGAATAAGGTGCACTTGGTCTCATCAATGTTAGCCGTCTTTCCATCTGGTGGGGTTCACAGGGAAAGGAGCCTGTTCCCCTGGGGAATTTGTGCTGCCCTCTTGCACTCTTCCAGGTCCTTCCAGAAGAGGTGGGCTCTGGGTAGGGGCACTCTTGGAGCTACAGTTCGAGTTATCCTGGGCCTGTCATTCTGCTTCCCTTGTCTCCTGGTGTTGTTGCTGGGCTGGGGGAGGGCAGGGAGGGCAGATCCCGTATCCCCACGCCCAGCTCCCCTCCCCCATTCGTGTTCTTGAGAGGTACAGTTTCTTTGGACTGGGGGATGGCTCCGATCCCCCACTCCCATTCTTCCTCAGTAGGTCCCCGCTGCAATTCAGGGGCCAACCTGAACTATGGGAAGTTTGCCGTCTGGGCCGGTGACCTTGGGCTGCTCTGGCCTGGAGATAGGGGAGCCGGGGGCCCTGGAGAGATTAGGTGCACTGGAGTTAGAGAGCTATGCCCTCCCAGGGCCCAGCAAGCCCCCAGCAGAGAGGTTTTAGTAGCTGAGGAGATCACTGAAAAAGAATATGTCCCTTCGCAGATATCCACTCGTTTGTGGCCATGGGGTCACACTGGCTCCAGGACTTGCCTGGCTGTCCCAGCTCCCACAGCCTGCCTGGGAATGAATTTCCTTCCTGTGGTTTCCCAGTATGTTGGCAGGAGGTGGGGGGTGGGGTGGGATCAGTGTAGAAGTGGCTGAGGACCTTTTCATATGGGGTAACTGGGGGGACACTGGAGCTTATGTGTAGCCCTTTTCTCGTGCCCCAGGACTGGCATTGAGCCCTTGCATCCCTGTGGTCATATCCTGTTGTAAGTCCCCCGTTCTTGTCTCATAGCTTTGTGTGTTTGTGGGTGTATATGTGTGTGTGTGTGTGTGTGTGTGTGTGCGCACACATGTATACATGTAAGGAGTTTCTCTGGGTTATGAAGTTTTCACTTACACTACTGTTGTGACCAGAGAAGCTGAGATTTTTCCTGATAACGCACAGCAAGTCCATGTCAGAGCAATAATCCTTCTGTTCTTTTGGGTCTACTGCAGAGCACAGAGGAACTCTAGGAAGAAGATATACAAGCCTTGCTTTTAGAGGCCTTAGTCCAAGTGGCGAAGGAGGACCCAGACAGAAACGGGCAGCCCTTGTGTTGGGGGAATGGCATGGGGGTTGGGCTAGAGCTTCTGTCTGCTGTGCCCAGTGCCTGAAATCCAGTGGTGAAGGACTTGGAGCAGTGGCAGGTGCACCCCATTGCCCATTGCACCCTGTGTCTGACGGCCCTGGCCTGCAGGGCCTGGATTTCACAGATCTGCCCTCTCGGCTGCTGACTCTTCTCAGAGCCTGGAAGATGTGATAGTCTTTCTGGCTGCTGTTATATAATCTCTCTCTAGCAGGGTTTTTTTTTTTTTTTTTTTTAATCTTTCCTGGGAGGTGTGATGGGGAGGAGAAGGCGAGGGCAGCTCCCCAGGTTGGGGCTGGAGAAGCAGCAACAAGGCATCTGGGCATGCCCTGGCCCCTTGGGGTCCCAGGGAGCAGGGCCTTGGGGTTAAGCCATTGTTGATTGTAGCCCAGCCCCTCCCACCCTCACTCACAGGAAGGGGCTTGTGCTATGGACATCCCTGACCCTCATGGTCCAGAGATGCCTGGACCTCTGCTCCTCCTGCTGATCTTCGCTTCCTGCTCAACTGGGCCCCCTGTCCTCCCTGACTGGCACTGGGTCCGCAATCCTAGTGTTTTGGCCTGGCCTTGTGTGGGCCCCTGGTGGACACTTTGCCACCTCCCCTGGAGCCTCTTAGCAGAAGGGGATCCAGGGACAAGTGGTGGGTCCAGCATTTCCTGGCTGCATTTGAGCCAGCTTCTGCTTTTGTCTTTCTAATCCAGATAGTGAAGGCCTTCATGGAGAAGAGGTGTGGGTGAGACGGGCAGTACAGGACACCCTATTAGAAAGTTGTAGTTGCTTTTCACTCAGGTTCTAGAAGTGGTGTAGGATCCCATACAGTCCTAGAACCTGCTCTCAAAGGTTACATTGTGGGTCTGTGGCACGGTGATAGAGAGGTTCTCCCCACCCTGGAGGACCACGGCTGGCCCAGGAGCTTTGAGACCAACTGGTTTGAGACAATTACCTCCCTTTTACAGGGAAGAAGGAAGGAGGAGATTGTGGCGGGGCCAGCACAGCCTCAGCATCACTGTAATTGCTGGTGGCTTTTATGAGTCTGTCATGGGGCCGGAGTCCAGCCAACCTTCTGTCCTTCTGTCCCAGTTTGGTGACTTACTCATGGGGGGAGAGGGTGGTGTTAGATGCCAAGAATTCTGTTTGAGAAGCTGGACAGCTGGCTGTGTTGTGGTAGATGTTGCCTTGTCTGTCCATAATGACAGAAAGCTGGATGGAGCTTAGACTTTAGGAAGAACTTCCTAGTGGAGGATGAGGCAGGAGGACCTCAAATTTGAGGCTAGCCAGGACAACATAGTGAGACCCTGTTTCAAATAAATGAATGAGTGAATGAATAATGAATGAATGAGTGATGTAGCTCAGTGGTAGAGCACTTGCCAAACATTCACAGAGCCCTCTAATACTTTGGGGATGTGGGATGGGGGAGCTTTCCTGGTAGAGCTGGGATAGGAAGAGAAAGATGACCCTTAAGGAAAGAGGGGATCGCAAAGCACTTTCTTCTTTAGTACTGTGCTGAAAGGCCTTGACCTTTGGCCTGGTGGAGTTGGTGCTGTTTGGCTCCTGGAATATTTATTTTCCTTTCTCTCCCCCTGTTTAGGACAGACAGCATTGTCCTGGAGCTGGGAGGACTAGCCTCTGGACTGCAGGGCTGGGTGGGAGTCACACAGACTGGCAGGCCCAGGTGCACCTGGCAGGCCCACGACATTTAATGGCACACATGCATGAAGGTGTGGGGTGCATACTTGGGTGTGTAGACACCCACAGAGCAGCTGCCACCTGTGGGGGCTGGGGGTTAGCAAATGGCAAAGATGATTAAAGGATTGGAGAGTGAGGACGGGTTGACAGAGTGGAGGCAAGGAGGCAGAGGGCACAGCAAGAACTCTGAAGTGAGTGGCATGGGCCAGAGCTGGAGGGACTGGGGTTAGACTACAGCTGGGCAGCCAGAACGCTGTCTGCAAAGTAGAGTGTGAGTTCAGGAGTCCTGACTGACTTTCATCCCTCCCTGCCTCTCCCTCTGTGGTTCCCCCTTGCCCCAGACTGGCCATGTGTCCTTGGGTAAGTCAGCCCTCAGGACCTCAGCCTTCCAGGTGTCCGAGGCTCAACCTTCTTGGTGATCCAAGCACCTGGGAGGGTGGTTTATCTCTGGTGTCTGCTGCCCTCTTTCTCACCAAGATGAGTGCCTCCAGTCTGAGGGGGCAGGGCTGCATTTGAGAGCTTAGACATCTGGGTGCAGACCTTCAGCCTGGGCCATACCAAGTGCTCCATACCTGACTTTTTCCTTTCCCTGGGGGTACATCCAGTGCCCTGGAAAGCCAAGGCAGCCTTTTGGCCCACTCTGGTGGTCGGAGGCAGGAGGACAGGAAAATGAATTCACAGACTACACAGGGCTTGGTGCTGGCTATGTGGACATCTTCCTTTCAGCTTAGTCTGGGAGGGAGGGACTTGTCCCAGGCAAGATCTTGCCTGTGGCTGGCCACACCCAGGGGGACCATATTTACTCATTTAAACGTGCCCTCCCGGGAGGCCCTGCGCCTGAGGCCTGGTCACTGGCCTTGGCTTGGTGCCCCTTGCTGAGTGCTCTGGGCCACTTCCCAAGAGGTGGGCAGACAGGCGAGTGCCAGGCAAGCAACCTTCCCCTCAGGCATGATCCCACTTGCCCAGTTCTTCAATGTGTGAAGAGCAGACCCCAAGACCAAGAACTCTGGAGTTCCTTGGGGCTGGAGGCAGGAAACCTGTTTTTGCTTTTGTTTTTCGTGGTGCTGAGGATTGAACTCAGGACCTTGTGCTTGCCAGGCAGGGGCTATGCCACTAAGCTATCTCCCCGGCCCCAAAGCCCTACTTATTGTGTACCACACTCTGTCATGGGTACCATGACCTGTGAGCAGTTTGTCAATACAACAAATTTTTATATATATATAATTGAGGAACCTTATTTAAGCTTTCCCTGTTTGAGTGGATGAGGGTTTTTATT